ATTCGTTCCCTATAACGATGCTCGCGTTTTGGCCGGGCATAAAGCAAAATTATGTTTTCTCCAGCAAGACTTTCTAATTTATAAAAAAAAGCTTGAACATGAGCTAAATGAACTGTAGTGTCTGCATTCACGTTCTTTTCATTGTGAACGGGTGCGATTTTAATATCAAAACTTTAAAGCCGTCCATGACCGAGAAGGTTTCTTTTTTTCTTTTTTCTTTTTTCTTTTCAATACTTAAGGGCTTGCGATCTGAATAAGATAACGAAATTTTTAAAATTAGGGGAATGCTATATATAAAAGAAGAGAACTTTGATTGTAAATATGTTAGTTGGTAAAAATACTGATTATTTCTTTTTAGTATATAGGTTAGAAAAGTGATGCGTAGTCAAAAGTGCTACAAAGGAGTAAAAACCCAGCTCTTTCCATTAATGAATTTTATTGACATTATCAGGGACATATGCTTTGCTTGAGTAGGCTGCACTTTGTTTGATTCAGGATCAATCAATCTTTTCTGAATAGACTTGAACAATAAAGTATGTTTACATATCAGATACTTCAACACTATCTTAGCCAACAACTAAGAAGAAACTCAACTTCATATCAAAAAAACAAAGTGAAAACTGCTTCACTGTGAAACAACAACCTATTCAAATATATATCACGTTTTAATGTGATGTATAAAATAGTGGCAAATGTGACGAGAGCGAAGGCGTTGATTATAAACATCATTTCAAACTCCCGAAGAAACACTGCAAACCAGATGTTCTTAGTCAAATCAGTCATCCTTAGAGCAAGTCCAGTTTTTTTTCTTTCTTGCTTTTTAATAGTAAGTGAACTGAGGGAAAAAGAATATTTATCACCTTTGTTATTGAAATCATATGGAGGATCACAAATAAAAAGCGTTAGAGCAAATCCCAGAGATTCTAACCTCTTCAGCGTGAAATGATTGTTTAATGTTGTTGTAACTTTTTATTCCCGTGTGATGTGGTTTTCAGAGAATTTTCCACTGACGCAGGTTCACATTACCTTAGGACACTGAAAAACAAGCAAAAAGAAGTAGATACTTGTACGAATCATTTCGTAGCAAGACTAATATCGTTGGAACCACCCCAAAGAGGTTTGCGTCTGAAAAAGGAAAGCCTTAGAGATAAGAAGGTTCTATCGGTGTTCATTTCTAGGAGGGGGGCCCTGAAAAATAATGGGGTTCTCGTTGGAAATTTTCGAAAAACGGAAACACCATAAACACAAACCATAAAAGCAAAATTAAACAACAAACACAAAAGCGATGTGTTACTGAAGAATGCTTACGATATGTTCTTCTCACGGTCTTTCGATTAGCCTGTGTACAGACTTCCCCTCTTCCCTCAGGAAGAAATCGGGAGAGGGGACCCCTCTCCCGATTTTTTCCTGAGGGAGGAGGGGACGTCTGTACACAGACTATCTTTCGATCCCTGTTTCACTCCATTTCTGATTTTCAAGTTTGCACTTGTAATACCTCTTGGATCCGATTCATTTATCGAGACGCGTAGGATATGCATATAATTTATTACTTCTTCTTTCACTTGGTTAATTTTTTGTGCTTATTTAAAAAAAAGTTTCAAAGAGCGCCCATATAACTACGCCGAGAATGCATATAGTATCGAGAGTGCCCTTATTTTATTCTCCAGTTTCAGAAAGCTGTTTCATTTGAGATAGAAAAAGGGAAAGCCGGAGTAAAAACTAAATTTATTTATTTACTTATACAGTTTTTTTCTCTTTATAAAGATGCGAATGATTACTAGAAACCCGTGCAGATGCGAAGCAAAAATTGATAACCGAATTGTATCAAATACAATTATAAACCTAATTATAAACTTTAAACCTTTGTATTTTCTGGTTTATGTAGTGGGCTCTAGGCCTCTGCCCGCGTCGGGTAGAAGCTGTTTAACGTATTATCACTACACACCAAGCAGTTTGACCTTACTGGCAGGGTGGAGAGAAAATGTTTGTTCTGTATTCGATTCATTTTCCAGCGCCAAACTGGCAAAACATATTTTCTTCAACAAAACCTTTCGTGCAATTCCACTATAACGTTGTTTATTTAGTTCACTTTAAAAAATACAACCTCCAGTATGTTGGTTCAATTAGATTTACGAACCAAAAATTTATCACTTGCTCACAGTTTCAGGTAACACAGGACAAAGGATATACCCTTGGATTCTAATTTAACTTACGATGAACATATAATTAAAACCGCTTCCTCGTGCATGTCCCGCCTTGGCCAGATAAACCGTGTCAAGCATGTCTTCGACAAACGTACACTTTTGATGATTATTAATTCCTTAGTTTTTAACAGGTTATTTTATTGCTCCAATGTTTGGTCAAATACCTCAAAATGTAATGTCAACAAGTTACAGGCAGTGCAGAACTTCGCATGCCGCATTGTTAGCGGCGCGCGTAAATTTGACCATGTTACACCAATTCGCAAGGAGCTAAATTGGCTTTCAGTTCCCAGTCAGCTTTATTACCGGAACGCTACAATGGCTTTTAAATGTATGACCGGTCAAGCCCCTGAATACCTTACATCAAAATTCATAAAGCGAGCAGAGGTTAGCCGACGTAGCACCAGAAATTCACAGCTTTTACAAATCCCCTTTTTTAGGACAGCTGCCGGTCAGAGAACATTTTTCTATAGAACTGTGAACTTATGGAACTCCTTAGACAATTCCTTTAAACTGTGTAACTCGATTGATGTTTTTAAAACTCGTTTACGTACTAAATTACTTAAAGAATTGTAATTTTATATATATTTTAAAACATTTTTAATTGTAAATAGGATCATGTATTGTCTTTGAAAAGCCCCTTGGGAAAGTCAATAAAGTATGTATGTATGTATGTATGTATGTATGTATGTATGTACCCCATGGGCCTTCGGCCTCAGGTTTGTTAGACAAGTCAGATGGCTATTTCGAGCTTTTGAGACGTTTTGTAAAAAACTGCCCAAGAATACAAAAAGTCCACCTCCTGTTGACGTGCATTGGCAGACTCGATAATGGCGCTGCTTATAAACTTCTTTGTTTGTTAGTACTCTACTTGTCTTGTCTCGTGGCTAATGGACCGTATTTCAGGCCCTTTACATCCCAGAAAGGTCCTAAGCCGATGGCAACCTTTGAACCTTTTGAAAACAATTTATTTTTCCTTGTGAAATGTCTGTAACCGTAACGGAGATAAATTAAACGTTAACTGTAGAAAAGCCAAAATTTTAACGGTACATGGTCATTGAGTGTGCGGACGCTTAATGTGCAGAGCTCTGCAACTCTCTCAATTTCGCACTTTGCTTCAATCAAGTTACAATCTCTATTATTGGTCTTTCGTCATGGAAGTTGAACGTTAATTTAGATCTTTAGGTACAGGCAATACATTGAAATTTTTTCTTTCGTAATTTTCCGGCTTTGGAATTTTCCTTTATTTTTCTTCTTTTTCTCTTGCAATTTGCTTCGTAAGCCCTTCCCCCCCTTAAAGCAATCATTGCTGAAACAGGAAGTTCTTGTCAAATTTGTGGATTGGATAAAGTGGGCTGCGCTTGATGGGCAAACTGGTATCGTCCATGTACAGTGGAACCTCTATATAACGAAGTCCTCGGTATAACGAGCGACTTTCTTTGCCCCAGTAATAGTAAAATATCCTCACTGCACACCTATTACCCCGTCACGGGGAACTAAGTTATGGAAAGATGCCGCGACTGTTAGGGCAATAGGAGTGCCGAACATCGTGCAAAAGCGGTGCCAACCGCCACCAGAGGAGGTGTGAGGGGCGAAACTTAAACGCCACTTTCATCGAACTCCGTGGAACTGGCCAGGGAGGGGCTAAAACCGCGCTATTTGAAGCTAGGGCCGCAAGGCATCTTGCCCAGCGGCACGCAGGCCCACCAGGACGGAACTTAACTGAGTTAAACCTTTCTGTCTTACGCGTAATTATGTATGCAGTGGGAATAGTAAAATATATGAAAAAGAACCGCCAAATAACGGAACCTCGATCGTTATAGCGAAAACATTTTGCCAGTCACTTGGTACTTCGTTGTATCGAGGTTCCACTGTATCTAATAAAGAATTAAATGGTACTATTTCTGATCAATTTCTTGAGTACTTTGCCCTCAAATTCTGATAAGTAAGTATCGCGGGATACTCCTTAGAGCATTTTGGAAAGCCCAGTGATTCCTGATTTAACCGTGTACATTTGCTTTCGATCACTTTAAAATAACTGGAACCGGACATATGCCATTATTTAATTCTCTAAATAGCTGATCATTATCCCCTCCTGTGTCCAGATTGATTCCTACGACAGAATTAAGTCGATACTTTACTGGTCCTGCCCTCCGTTCAGCGTTTTTCTGACCACGCCCTTTATTAAAAAAAGACCCTTTTTAAGTCATGCAAATAGAGGCTGTCTCTGCTTAGTTTCCAACTTAAACGAGGCAAAAACAGAGCTAGAAATAGAGAAATGTTAATGTTTTATTTCAAGAGGCAATGTCAAAAACTCAAACTAAAAGTTTTGCAGTTTTTCAGTCAATGTCAAAAACTCATAGCAAGTTTATAATCAACTCCGTCCCGATCTTGACGGACACCTAGAGTTGGTCTCTGTCGATTCTTCAGCCAAGTCTTTTCTTTCATCCTCTATAAGGGGACATCCCTCTAAGACGGTTGCTTTGAACCACTTTTAAGGGTGCTTTTCTAAAGCTTCGTTCACATGGCACCGGACAAACGTTCAACCAGTTGAAAATTCGTGCGTCTAGGTGTTCCGTTCACACTAGAACACCTTACAGTTAAGCCATGGCCGGGTCAAGCGTATCCCTGATAATTTTATTAGTGAAATTATTGTTTGAACGTTAAATCCGTAAGTAGTTGTGGATTTCAGATTCATCTCTGTCCGCATTCCTGCATTCGTGAAGAGTATTAAATTCAGGCGCGAGGTAGTGCACATTTAGTGCCCATTTCGTAAATTGACATAAATGTCTTTATACAGGAGCCCATTATTCATAACAATTTTATCCATACAAAAAAGATTTTTTAATCTGACCGAATATTGACTGTAACCGTACTGAAAATTTAGACGTCTAGCCTTTGAAAATTCGTGTGAACGGAGCGAAAATATTGAACGGTTCAGTGTGAACGAAGTGGTCGCACAATTTTCACCAAGAAGAAAACTCAAGTGGCGTGTGAGCGTGGCCATAGACAAAGTTCTAGCACGTCAAACATCCGTTTAAGCACATGAATTAATTCCGCACTGAACAAGCTTTTGCATGTTTGAAAGTTTAATAACGAGAAAAGGTCCTTATTTTTTATTCACTGACAAAAATATTTGCGACAGCTTGCACATAACACTAGATTGCAGACGTATACAAAACATGGACCCCCGGGTTTTGTTTACGTCCAACACTTGGTTGCAATTGCTGTTATGCATTTATATCCAGAATTTGAAAAGACGTAGTTTGGACAACCAAGTTTTGAGTCTCTAACACCAGAAAGTATGCCATTTATTGACGTTCCTTCTTGAACTCGTGATCACTTCTAACCAATGACAACCAAATGATGTTTTACTTGTCCTGTCATCTGTATCAACTTGTCCTATCACGTGATCTGTATTGATGACGTGTTTGCAACAATGCATGGCAGTCAGTCGAAGAGTTAGTTCATTGAGATCCAATGATGAGAGATCGAATGAGTAATTTTCGTAGAATAAAATATCCGAACTCCCTTTCTTTTTTGACGTTCGGTATGATTGTAAGATTCTCTGTCCTCTCATTAGGTACACGGTTATATACAAATCTACAATGAATAAAATAAAAACCTCCAGTTGTGAGAGGCAAATACATGTAGCTAATAAGAGAAATCTTACGTAGAAAGTTAAAACCAAAATCATGCACCGATTAGACAGCCTGAATTTCATCCGATTACTTCGAGTAGTTATTACTCCCTCAGTAACTCAGTTACTGGGGGAGTAATAACGACTCGAAGTAATCGGATGAAATTCAGGCTACTGATTAGAAACTTTACAGTCCTTCCCCAATGCATAAGCTTCACAATTTTATTTGATTTTTAGTTTCTTAGTTAACGGCTGATAATTGAGCTTGCCTGAGTTCTGTCTAGTTTTCTTTGCACGCTACAGTGAGAGTACACTGGACCACTATTGCTATTATTTCATGATGAAATCACGATGGAATTAAAAGGTAGAGAATGTTGGCATTTTTTTGGAGTTTTCAGCCTAATATCGACAAATCAATGGAGTAAAATATATTTTGAGCCTCGACAGATCTGCTGATGACAGGCACAAAAATAATGCTACCAGCCCATAGAAAAAGGATAAGCAACTGTTTCCTGGCCCTAACCTCTAGTTCTTGAAAGAGAGGCAGAGATGTGTGTGGTTTCGAGATAAGCTTGAGGAAACAAGCCATAAATATCGCCAAAGAACATGTATTACCAAAGTGACCTTCAAAAACGGTTTCTAAAACATGAAGTCTCCATTAATGGTTTAGCAATAACAGTAAAAGCTGGAGTAGGAACTCCGATATCACCTGAACAGCTCACGCCACATTTGTCCTGCTTTTTTCCTTCTCGAGCTTTGCAACAGAGATTTCTGGCTTTTACGATGCTTACCCACAAACGACTTGTACCTTGGTCAAAAGACAAAGATACATTGACTTCTCCGGCGGGAAAATCTGGAAATATCTGCAAAAAAAAAAAAAGAAATAGATAATCTTGTCATTTTAACGCGGAACCTTGTTCACTGTACGTAAATGTTAAGAATGTTTTTAAAAGTTCCTTTATACTCGAAACTCCTTGATCCCGATGATGCGGTATTGTGCAAGTTTGAAGATTTGACTCTTGATAAGGGTTTGTGATTTTTCGGATGAATCACGACTACTTATGTTTTCCCAAGCACATTCTTGTCAAACACTGATAGAGGTTGTTCCAGTTCTATAATTCGTCTCCACTAACGAATCTCACCTGTCAGGGAGTCATTTGTTCAGATCTGAAAAAGTGTTTTCTTGCAGTTACTTTACTTTATTTCATTTCATTTAATTTAGTGCATTCAGACATAGCTACTGGTTTTTGCTTGGTTTTTGTGCTCTCGCAGCCGTGAGTTCACTGACCCTTAATATAAAGAAAATTGCGCCATATCATTTTTTGGAAGCTTAATTTTTAACTGATTCGTTTACCAAATAATCGTCGACTGAGAGAGAATAATTATAGATTTGATTATATTCGATAGATTAAAACTAATAATGATAAAAGAAAAAAATGACATTTGTGGCTTTGGCATGAACGCACGTACGGCAACCATCTACCGAACATATAGAGTTTCCTCTTGCCTTACTTAATAAGACATATGCAAGGCAGCAACATGGCTCTAAAGCATAATTTTCATCTGCGTTTAATGCAGCTGCCTTTTATTCTCTCTACTTGAAACCTCAAGTAAGGTGTTAGTTTTGACGAAAGCGAAAATTTAAACTGAGTCAACGATACTTTAATTATAGTTTTTCCTCAGTGACTGAACCTCCCTTCTATGTTTCATCGTATACTTTTTCTTCCGGAGCAGGAAATTTATTTGAAAGATATTGTTCCATTTAAAGAAAATTTCTAACAGGACAGTCCATTAACGTTTCATTTACTAATAAATTTTTGCCGAAATAGATTTGAATAGTTCTAAGTGAAGTTTGTTCGGACTGGAAAGATTGGTCAAACCTCTGCAGGCGAACAAAGTCTTATTTTTTTTCCCCTGGATCAACACGTTCCATCCGTGTTTAGTTCAAAATTTCTGGGAATTTTAGAATAATCCCTTAGTGACACGACTGTTACATGAATGATTCTAAAATCATGGGTAGTCAGTTGAAGGTGGTGTTCACTTTGATGTTCTTATTTTGGGCCATTGCATGCAAGACTGATACACCTTAAAGAATCAGTGTGCAACTTGGTTAGGAATCAGTCTGTCCGCTTTAGTTTTCAAAGGCAACATCATTACAGTCAAGCCAGGTAAAGCGTACCCCCCAAGCTCCCATTAATGAATTTATTATTCGAAAGTTGAATCCGTTGGTAGTTGTAGATTTCAGATTCATCTCTGCATTCTTGCATGCGTAATGATCAATGAATTCACACGCGAGGCAGTTACGAAATTTCTACCCGCTCAGTTTCCTGAATTTGATGTAAATGTCTTCTAAGAAAGATAATCCATTCGAAGATTTTCAATCTGACCTAATACAGAGAAGTTCTAGTTAGATATTCACTGCTCATTACGCAAGCAGAAATGCCGCTTTGAATATGACAAAAGATACGGGAACCACTAACGGATTCATTTTTCAAATAATCAATTCATGAATAGAATCTTGGAGGGTACGCTTGACCTGCTTTGACTGTAACAGAGAAGTCCTCGAAATGTTAACTAATAAGTCAAGATGGTCAGTAAAAAAAAACTATTCACATGTTCGTTATATACAGTAGTTTGGAGCAAAAAGTCATCAATTGCAGCTGCTTCGTCAATGACATAGAACTCATGGTAACCAATATAAGTATATTATTCATTTTTATCTCCAGTTGTCTTTACTCGTCTTTAATTATGTCTACTTGTCAAATGGCAACTAAAACACTTGAAATTACACGTTAGTCTGGAATATAAGACGCAATTTTTGAATTGATTTTCAAAAAGTAATTTTCTCTTAGCCACATATCGTTATCTTAGGGTCGGATCTGCCGAGGTTTCGTGAACTGGAAAATAAACTAAAGCAGTTTCGATCGTGTTAATTGCTTTCGAGCCCTTTTCAACCTTTTGTGTTTCTGATCAGGTAAAGTAAAGAGCGTATATATATATGCAAATCTCTAATCAGCTCTTATTGTTTCAAGGGCCCTACAAAACAGGAAAAGGTCGTAAATGAATTTATTTCGAGACTACATGCATGAACGACTTCCTAAAAAGCAATCTTTTCGACACGGAAAGAACAGCGCTTTGTACATGTACATCAGTCATTTGCGTTTAAAACTGTTTGTGTTAACTGTTTGGGCTAAAGAACATTATTTTACCCAAGATTTGTTTATGGCAAGAACGTTTGCTTAAGATGTCATCTTTGTCCTATTTTAGTTTCAGAACTAAACGACAATATAAACATTGTAGATACATGCACTGTGCAGGCAAATGGCCTTTAATGAAAACTGTGTAATTTAGATAATTCTCAACCAAAAAATATGAGGATAGCGAGGACGTACCTTTTTCTAGATTCATAGGGAGAGATGCAAATAATAAAATGGTTTATATATTACTGAAATGGCTGCCCATTTGAAATCCCCGTCCATCCTCGATTATATATTAAGTTATTTCATTTGATTCAATAATTATATCTCTGAAGTAGTGTAAAAATTTCCAAATGTCTTAAAAACGTCTGAAAAAATATTGAGTCGGCAATAAGATCTTATTTTTATCATTGACTACAAAATAGGTACAACTAAGATCAGTGCGCGCCAAAACAAGTAAATGCTTGCTCATTATTTGTCTCTATTATGTTCGATAGAAGAAAAAAAGTTTTTTTTTAAGAAAGCAAAACTTACCGGTGAATAAATTGCTTCATCTTCGACCATAACTGCTTCCTCATTTTTTCTTAGAGAGTTATTGTTCTCAATACGAAGAGCAGATTCTTCAGAAATTCTGTCATTTTCAGAGCCTGCTTTGTGAAGTCCCCTTAAGACATTACCATCGGTGAAAAAATACAAAGCTGGTTTGGATCTCATGCTCTTCGATCTTTCAAGCAAATCCGCTTGAAAAGCCAACGGTTGAACGGGCAACGGATGTGTTCTCGGTGTTACAGACGTTTGATTTCGCTCGTTCGTTGACTCCATCCATTCAAACCAAGTTTCCTCTTCCTCTTCGTTCTCAAACACTGACGAATGACTTTGCTTACACTTACTGTTTCCCATCAAATGTACGAATATTCTTTGAAATGGTTTGGTTTCTTTTAGATTTTCTCACTATCCAGCACGACTGAAACTTAAATCGAAAATCTCCTTTCCCTCATGTTAATTTTCTTCCCCTCATAATTACATTTCAAGGAGACGAACTGCCCCCGCATGCATGTAAACAGCAATTGTCCCTATGAATAACACATTAGACAGGTCGGCTGAACCGAATTTTAAATATTCATAATCTACCTAAAGTGTACTAAGTGTTTTGTTCTAGACACGGACACAAAATTTGACATTTCAGGAGCGAATATTCAACGTTCATTGGCTAAGTGATGGCGTTTCACCGCTGGACAAAGCTTTTGATTTATGACAAGAGTCATGCTTAGTATTGGTGGTGAAAATGTAATTACATTATATATTTAACTGCTTTTATCCTCGCCGGATGAAGCAGAGTATAATTCATCTGGAAAATATGTGTAGTTAATGCTTATTTGGTCAGTACAGCGTATTCTTTAAAATTTGGCTGGATGCAAATTTCTGTTTATGACAAACTTAATTTTTTTAAGAGTGCGATGTCATCAGCTTCAAGAAGTGTTAAGTTCTCAATTTAGCAAGGCAGTCGGGTCAGCGTTACAAAGAAAAAGAAAGTGTGTAAGAGCTTACTATTAAAAATCGTCAATTTAATTTTCCACAACGTTTTGATTTTTCTTATTATTTCTGTAAATGCGTTTTTTATCTTTTTTTCCGGGACATCTGCTTGACAGTGACAAAATCCAAGCTGTTTTGGTTTTATTGACAGGTTAATTTTCGTCAGATGGGGGAATTTAAAATGGCTAGCTGCCTCCGGGCCATTGTCGCCCACATATAAAGGCCTTGTCGACCGTACTTTTTCAAGGGCCCTGGAGAGGCGGTTGATATCTTCTCATGCGTAATTCTACTAAATTAAAAGGTAAGGCCATTAAAGGCATCAATATCTTTCAGGTTGTCGCCTCTGAAGCAATCATTTAAATTCTAATGGAATTAATAATTTTGAATACCAAAGCCAAACGATATTATTCTGATTAGTACAGAGTAGTATAGCAGAGTAGTGTTTGATTCGATCGATTTGAAGCATGGCAATAGATTTAATATCAACTTGTACATCTGCTTTCTCTGGCCTTACAAATGATTAGCAATATCAAATAATCAATGGTCATCTAAGAGGTTTTTAAATATATTACGAACCAATGCCACAAAAGCTACTTAAATCAAAAGATTACTGCAACATTTTACCTGTTTTAAGCATTACTTGCTTTCGTGAGGTTCTAACTTGGAAAGGGGGTTTCTAGCGATAATCGGTGAGCATCATTAGCTACAAAAAGGCGATTTTATCAACTGATTTCCGGTGAAAAATTAACTCTTAACATTTCCTCTCTACCTAAATCACTGTTAAGATGAAATCAAGGAAAGGAAATAGTCGAAATATCTCAAGTACAACAGGCCGAATTTCACAATTACGTGTTCTGTTATCAACCACTGGTCACAAATGACCGAAAACATTGATGATTTGTTTCCCTGCGCCAAAGCAGTGGTTAAAGATAACTTTGAACAATTTTTTGTCACTATATTTAGTTCGAAATTTTGTCTTCAAAAGAACTGGCCTTCAACTCCGTACTTTGGCTTGTTTGCGAACCCGCATTACAAGCAAGAAGAAGAAAAGAAAGAAAGAAATAGGATTCTCCTCGACAGGATATTCGCGGCAAGTCACCCATCCAGTTCCTAACAGTTCCTAACCCCTTCCCCCCACCTCCCCCCCGACACCGCTTAACACCGCTTGGGGTTCTATTGGCGAGAAAACTTGGATGGGTTCGTTTCAGAAATACGAAGATGAGTTTGTCTACGGGCTGCTTTGGGTGCCTCTCAAAAATAGTATAACCCTCAACGGAGACTACAAATTACCTATTCTGTGATACTTTTTTACAGCAATACTTGGGGGGCATATATCTTCAATGACGGCCTCTGATTTGCAGTGACTATGAGTTTAAGAAACCTATCAATAGAAACACGCAATAAAACAAAAATTGCGTAAATGGAGGATAAAGAAAAAGTCAAGTCCACTATATTTGAAAAATTTCTAGAATGCACTGCGTCTAAACAGCATCTATTCGTGCTTTTCTCTCCATGTGAACTGTCCATCACTGTCGTTGCCGTGGTGATTGTGAGACCAATTGCGACTTGTAAGCAGATAAAGCGGAGATTACAAACTGTGCGTGGTTTCATTGAAGTCATCTGTGGGAATAAAACTCTTTCAGCGTATATGACATACACTAGTCCAACAACAAAGCTGGCTTGAAGACTTGAATGCAGGAAAACAATAGTTGAACAGGTGACAGCATGGGTCTTGTGATGACTAAAAAGACGAATTGCAAATACTACTGTGGAATTTTCTAAAGTGAAACCAAACCACTCCAACAAGGAAGGCAACACAATAAACACAACGAGGTTGTCATGAAGAGTTGAGATTCGCCTCAGACGTCTTGATTCTTTGGCAAAAATCATTGAGAGTAAAGCCATCGTGTAATAAACCAGCGCAGCAATAAAAATGAATCGATACCATACTATTGAGTGAATACATTCGGAACCAAAGTGATTCAGGCCTTTAATAGTCCCAACAGCGTTTGAAAAAGTGTTGTTCATCCCAGAGATAACTTGTTATATTGTTCACTAATTTTGAGTCTTCACGGTTGCAGTGGAAACCATTGGACCATCGATGAATTCAATTAAGCTACCCGCTGTTTCCTTGTCCCGCTGTTAATTTCAAAGTAATTCATTTCATTGTCCCATAACTTTACTTTTGTGCCTTGGTTAAAGACGATTAACCGGAAGATGAATAAGCACTTGTCTGCTATCTACAGTCCAATCCGAGGGTACTTGTTCAAGAAACAGTTTCTGTTGTCTTTTATAATTAATTAGTTGGTGAATTTCAGGCATCACAGGATATATAGTGAACCAAGGCGATAAACTACCAGCCAATTGTCAAGCTGTGACAAGGAATTTTTTTTTTTTTTTTGCTGTTCAGTACTTTAATTGTTTTTCGCCACCATATTTATTAACATGAAGACGTCATTTGACGACTACTACAAGTACCAAAATTCATTTCATTTTTGTTAATTTTCTATTTAAAATTGTCAATCGCATTTCGATTTAGCAAACAGTAGCCCTCATTTCCACAGGACAGTAACACAATATGGGATTCTGGTCCACTTTTGTCGTACTCAATAAGTCTGTTATTGGAAGTGGAAGTAAGAAACATTGCCAAAATCACAGGGTACAGAGTCGTTTAGTTTATATACCATCACTAGGCAATACGATTGGTCAAGTTCATTTTTAGAGCTATTTATACATCGATTGAAGCTTTGCTCTTTACTCTATGCAACAATTTTTAAGTACGTTAAAAGATATTCTCTGTTACAGTGGTAAACTTAATGTTACAATTCATAATAATCACGCTTCATGCCATATGTCGTCAAAGACGTACTTTTCTAATTCATAAACTGGCATAATTTGATTCACCGCATGGGCACCTTTGAGAATTTTACAACACTTTGCATGCTGAGTAAAATAACGTACTAGATTTTGATTTTAACAAATCATGAGAAACAATTTTAAAAACAATCCAGAGATAACAGCTAATCTCAATCCACGCAACATGACACTTGATTCTCTAACTCAGTGGCCTGGGGTTTGCCTGAGTTTGACACACAGATAAAATTCATGTTGACTTAATTCTGCCATGCATTGAGTGTAAAGCCTTCCTCTGTGAAGAACAATAGCTTGACCGGCTGCTGATAGCAAGTAAAATTTCCGTTAAAGATTCCGACTTTTCGATTCACTTGTGTTTTTCACCAAATCTGCAAACAGGCCACCTTTTCTAATTAGGACGTCAGGCTTCTCAAACTCCATAACTCGTCCACCATCAAGAACCAAAACCTTATCGTAATCCATAATTGTGTCGAGTCGATGGGCAATGGTTAGCACTGTGGAATCCTTAAACTTGTGACGAATGACTTCCTGGATGAGATGATCAGTCTTGAAGTCCACATTAGCAGTGGCCTCATCCATGATAATGATCTTGCTTCTTTGCACCAATGCACGGGCAAGGCACACCAACTGTCTCTCCCCGACACTGAAGTTCGATCCTGATTCTTTTAACTGGAAGTTCAGCTGCCCAGGAAGTTCCTCTACCACTCCTTTTAGCTGGACGTCTTCGAGGGCGGTCCAAAGCTCTGTGTCCGTGAATCTAGAGAATGGGTCAATGTTTCTTCTCAGGATGCCTCCAAACAGGACTGGATCTTGGGCGATAACAGCCATACATCGACGAGCTGATTGAAGGTTGATGGCCCCAATATCGACATCATCGACAAACACCTAATCAAGATAAAACCATTTTGATCATAACTTTTGAGGGCGCATAATACTATAGTAGGGGTGTTTTAAGCCTTTTAATTGGGGTGAGGGGTAGGTATCTCATTACAGGAGATGAATGCACTAACGCACATGAAGTCACGAATAGGTATCTCTTTGCGATTATGTGTCTTTCTATTGCTGCGTTGTGCCTAGTAGAACCGATTTGACAAGTTTTTTTATTTTTGGATCGATGCTGTTAAAAAAGCGACACAAGCTTGGACTCAACTAAAAATGTGAGGAATTTAACTTCTTAACGCAAAAAACTAATTTGAAAAGTAAAGCTACTCGAATTTCCATTGATGAATCTTTTCCTTAAACACAAGACATCAATAAAGCTAATTGCTTGTTGCTGACTTTGGGGGGTTATGTAATTGGGTTTAATAGTAATTGTCACAATTGATATGCTTAGACAAAGTAAAATTAATGGTTAGTCAATTAAATGCGATAATGTAACAGATGTCATTGTTTATTTTTACTTTTATTGGTCGTGCGTGCCCTTCTTTAGGTATGTATGGGTCATTGCTTTACTTAGCCATAATGATACCATGATTAATAGGCCAGTTGCACTAAGAGGTCACGTGACCAATGCTTCCTTTAAACGATGAGTTGGAAGCTTGCTGATGCCAAAAATTGACAGAGCACATAAGAATTATCTTACGCCCGAAATTTGAGGGGAAATGCATTTAAGGGAGATATTTTATGGCACTTTGATTTTACAACAAAGCAGTATGATTTGTATTGGCCGCCATGTTGGAGGGCATACTCTTGCGCTCCAACATGGCGGCCAAAACTACTTTTTGCTTCTATCTTGTTAAACGTTTGATAGTTACGCTCAGATGTGTTGTAAACGTTACCACATCATCTTTTCAACATTTTCCTTGAACTTTAAGTGCAACATTTGTGTTCTGAAAGATGTAATTCCTAATTTTAAAAATTACATTTTGGTCACGTGACCAGCTACGAACTTACTCATTTTAAGAAAATGGTGCGGGTTTGACAAACCAAATCACTATTATTTTGTTTAAGGTATGACCCACTAATCGTTTTTCGAAGGCAAAATCATATAACGTTCATTTTCATAAAAACGATGTCCCCATGACCTCTTAGTGCAAATGGCCTATTGCAGAGGGGTCATTCCTGTGAAGGCAATACGCGCCAACGTCTCTGTCATTCAGTGAGATGCCTTGTTTGTCGCGTTATCGGCGTTAATGTTATCTTGTCTCCTTTAATGAGATTCCTGCTCAAAAAAAAGAGCTTTTTTCATTCCTACTAGGCTACTTATTTTAGCGTTAGTGGTCATTAACAGCTAAGAAAGAAAAAAGGCAATCTGTTTCTTATTACCTTTTTAACCAAGAAAAAACAGCAAATTTTGATTTGGACTGTTCTGGATTTATCGATCGTTTTATAATTTAAAAGGAAAAGTCAAGGTCCCTTTTAAAAAACTTGGCTAGTTAAACCTTTTTTCCTGTTATCTGGAGACCCTTTGAAACACTCACCCTCGTTTACAATAGTTCATGACAGAAGTCTTGACACACTTCACTTAGAGCCATAGGGCTTTTTGTCGCGTCAACTAAATGAAAGTGTCTTTGCAATTTTGAGACTGAAAATTTCTCTTTGCCTTGTTTTCCAAGTTTCTAATAATTGCCTATTTAAAACCTATTGATAATCAAGTCAGTATTGACATGAAGATATTGCACTACCTTTCCTTCTGGATCAGGCATGCGCAGTAATGATGCGACGAGTGATGATTTCCCAGCTCCTGTTCGACCAACGACTCCTATTTTTTCTTTGTCAGAAATAAACAAATTTATGTCCTTTAGAACTCGTGGGCCACTTTCGGTGTACCTGAAAGACAAGTCCTTGATGTCGATCGTCCCCTTTGTGGGCCATGAATCCGGTGGCTGGATCTCTGTATTATAACCGGCCTCTTCGTCCAAGTTACTGTACGTTATTACTCTTTCTACCGAAGTCATGAGATTTTCCACTTCAGAACTTATTCTGATGCTAAATGCGACTTCATCCACGGCTTCCAACAGAAACGTAAGAGACAACCCTGCAAGGGCTGAAGGGAAATAATATATGGCTCTGATAAAATAACCTACGCCAAAGACGAAACTACGCTGGCTAAGTTCGTCTGCGGAACAGCGCCAGACTCCTTGTTCTGGGCCCCAACATGTGTATATGGTTTTAAGTACCCGCCAAGATTGGCCTGTTAAAAAAGCCATTGTTGATTTGCTAATCAAGTTGAAACGAAATTCTAAACGCTCCTCCGGTATTTCGTTGAGTCTGTTGGGGCCTAAGAACAAGGATCTCGGTGCTGCTTCGCATACGTTACGGCTAACCAGGGTTAAATTAAGTCTGTGACGCAGACTATGGTCAGACAGACGACTCTGGGAAGTTTTGCCATGATAATAGGGTTACTAGCCGGCGAATACAGCCGTCTCTGCACTCCCTGGCGCTAAGAACGTTTCGCAAGAGAGTCGAAATCAGGCTCCGCCGCGAAACGCCCAAGCCACACGGAGAATTGAAAGGCAGCTAAGAAAAGAGAGAAAGATATGGCTATCAGCACTGCAATGCATGTTACAAAACAGCTTTTTTCCTAGCCTAGGGTCTGTTTTTCAACGGAGACTCTGGAGACGATGTTGGCTTTGAAAAGGAAATCGGTCATTTTGGTCTCGGTATGGGCAGATTTAAGGGTTGGCCGAGAGGGCCGCCGCCCTTTTTTCCTTTGTATTCTATCTAGTTGGATACAACTGTTAAGTGTCCCGGTTACCCCCTTTCTGAATTTTCTGGATCCGCCCCTGCTCGGTGTTCCCAAGAAAACAAACCTGGGCTTTGGGCAACAAGGACAGCTCCATAACCTGCAGCGGCAACCATCAAGCTACATAGAAGGGTCATACGAAGAGCAAGCCACTGGGAACTGGTTATCACCATCATTAAGGCTGACGTGTTCTCATCCTGGTAACTAACCATAAAAATGAAAAAAGAAGGTCATAAATGATGTTTACAAACACCGACTTCGCTACAGCACCTTTCAAACCGTCAACAATAAAACTCGATAAATTTCAGGCAGAATTGGGAAACGAAAACTGTTGCTTTGAACGGAAACAAGTTCTGGTACTGATCAGAAAGTAACGATCCTAAATGCTACTCAAGATGATCCATTGGAAGCTCGGATAAATTCTAGAGAATCACCAAGTGTGATGATCAGTTTTCAGGGGCACCATACGTCAATTTTCGGAAAATATCTGTTCTGAAGACGATTTGAGATCTAGGATTTTCGGAACATTTGTTGCAAAATTTCCTGCTTGCCTCCCTCTCCTAGGATTTTTAACATCTAAAATATGGTATAATTGGCTATTTTTAACGTATTTTTACCCTAAAAAGGTCACCAAGAATTTTCGGCAGCCTTTTTTCTGGCTGAAATTTTCGAAAAGGTAAGTTTTGATCCCTATGATTTTCGGATCACTAAACTTTCCGCTAGGAAATCCAAATGAAGAATTTTTAGGGGATGAAAATCTGCCTATATCTACCGTTTAAACACTAAAATACGTTTAACAATGCTATAATTAAATGGTTTTGAACTATATTCTCGTTGTGTGCCCCTGAGTTTTGGTAAGTACTGCAGGATTATGGGGATTGGTATACGGTATGCAAAGGTCTGGTAAAAGGCTTACTCAATTTCCTAATAATTAACAATTTTTTAATGAGGCTGAGTATCATCTGAAGAATTATGTACATCGAGGAGGGTGTTATCCAAAGAGGCCTAATTTAAAACAAGATTAAACATGCTTACGTCCATCGATGTTAAGTTCATCTTCGATAGCGCATGTTAATCGGCAAGTTTAGGAGATATAGGGTTGTTCGGCTCCGCAAATATTCTCCAAACAGCAGATGTACATGTCGTCCGTCGAGTTGTCTTCTTGCTGTTCTTGCTAGCAAATAGTTCGCCTATTTATTCCTCTCGTGAAACGAGTGAAATTTTCCGCCATTTTTTTTACTCACTACCAAAACAACTCCACCTCGTCCGTTTTCTCAGTTAACGGTTCCATAATCTGGCAATTTGCTACACGATTGACCTCATTTTTCATATATCGAAAAATTCTTCGAAATTTGGTCGACGAAAGCTGGTTGTGATGAATTCTCTGTTGCGTGGGATTTTAGCCAATCAGAAACGAAGAAATTTATTAAATGAATAATAATGGTGGATATCAAGTAGCTATGCTTCTGTTATGTTTGGGCATATTATCTACTCGTTGGGGTGTATCGACATACCACTTGCATGCCCTTAGCCGCCCCCAACCATTCAAACAAAGCTCCTTACAAAGTAAGCGTCTAGATTTCCTTCATAATAACCAACCAGGTTATCCAAGCCACGTAGGACTGACTGAAAAGTGTATTGAAGCGATAGAGCGCAAGCAGGACCGTACGTCAAGAAGCATGAAGTCAGTTACTTAACTTGACGAGTGGGTGTAAAAGAGGGCTGCGTAAGTCCTAGATTTGCTGGTATTAGAGCCGTTTTCACTTGACTGTCGAAAGGGATTGGTTTTGGTTTTACTACGCCCTTTGGTTGGCTAGTGTATTTACTTTGGTTTTGGTTTTACGACAGTCAAGTGAAAACAGCTCTATTTCAGAAGGAGTTGTTTGCCAAATTGGGTGCTTTTGTGACTATAAAGGTCTCTCTAACTGGAACTAATCTCTTTAAAATGATCTTTGCGCGTGTGGTAGGATGACTTATAAAACAAGAATTTAGCTCAACGGCCTGTACATGAGCAATTATTATATTACGTACTTGAATAGTCTCCTTAGGAAATCCTGCTCCATTTGTGCCGAACGGATTATCTCTAATCCTGCAACTGTGTCAGAAATGTGCGAGTACACAGGACTGCACGTGATGGCCTCCAATCGCTTGATTTCCCTGGATGACTTCAAATAGTAACGTCCATAATAAAAGGCGACTAAAACAAGAGGAACTGCAATCAAAATAAGCCAAATGTTTGCTACTACTGGCAGCAGTATAGTGCTCGTTGCAAATAAAACAGTTTCCACAGCCGTCAGGAATTGAGGAGTAAGGACATCATCCATACTGCCGATGTCTTTGGAAAATCGATTTAAAGTGCGTCCTACAGGTGTTTTGTCAAAGTAAATCAGAGGTGCCTTGATGACTGAGACCATCATCTTGTTGTGTAGTCTCTCCGAAGCTTTAAGGAGCGTCCAATAAAAAAGATACGAGCAAATAAAGTTGGCCACAAGGGATGAGCTGATCAAGGCTCCATAAATTTTCAGTATCCTTGATGATCTCTGTTGCTCTTGGGTCATTTCTGCGACCTGTGATGCCCACCAGTGAGACATTATCAATAACACTTTAAAAAAAGAACAAAAAACCGATTAAACAAAATGAACCAGAGTTGTTGTCCCTATCAAATTAGGCCAATCTAGCGGGCTATCCACCTGAACCTGGTTTTATATTTCAAGTTAAGCTTGTACAAGAACGTAAACGATGGAGCAAAGAGCACTAGGACATTGCCCCTCCGAAGTAACAAAACTTAGCGTGCCAAATATATTTAAAAGATTTTACTTTAGTTTAAATGATCCCACTGTTTTAACTCCTGACCTTGATTTAATTTCAACTTTTTCTTCTCACCATGTCGCCTCGCCGCGCTCTTCCCAAGTACGCCTAAAATTCCGACGTTCCTTGGCAGTAGGTGAACCATGTCAATAACACCATATTTTAAAGGAAAAAAAAGCCAAGATATTGATCTTGGACAAATCCTGTAAATATAGTTTATAGTTACCTTTCACTCCAAGAATAAACAGGAAAAGGAAGAGTATTACAGGAGCAGAATGCGCTGTCCTGAAGTACTTCCAGTAGAGCTTCCAAGTTATGGAACCAGTGTTTCTGTCTTCCTCATCTTCCTTCAAATCTTGATTTCCCTCAGTAGTGAGTAAGTTCTCTAATGACCGTTTCGAATTATCTCCCTCTAAATTTCCAGGTATATTGGCATCGCACCGTCTAGAATTGCAGGTATTGGAGCCTTCCTTTAAAAAGCTAGTTTTTCCTTTCACCATGACACCTTTACTTAGCACAATGACGTTATTTAGTTCTGTTAGATAGTGCAATTGGTGAGTAACGAAAACACGGGTTTTACCAGACAAAAATCCACAAATACACCTTTCAAACAGACTCTTTCCGACTTTGGCGTCCACTGCGCTAAGAGGATCGTCCAATAGAAAAAGATCAGCGCCTGAATACAGTGCGCGTGCTAAACTCACACGGACTCGTTGACCACCACTTAGGCTTACACCACGGCTCCCTATTTCTGTTAAGTCACCAAACGAGAAGTTTTTCAAATCGGTTTGCATACAACAAATGTCAAGTATTTCATGATATTTGGCTTCATCAAACCGTCTTCCGAACAAAACATTATCTCTTATAGTTCCTGAGAAAACCCAAGGGATTTGTGGTACATAAGCAACTGTTCCATCAAACAATATTGTTCCATTAATGGCAGGAAGCTCGCCAAGTATGGTCATTAAAAGAGAGGATTTTCCACTTCCAACCGACCCAGTCACAGCCATCATTTGCCCATTCTTCAAAGAAAAGGAAACATCCTTTAAAGCCATCCTCTCCTCATGTCTGTCCCAAGATGCCGAAACGTTCAGAAGGATAAGATCATTGGTCTCAGTACCTAGAATCCCCCCTTTGTTTGATAAGGAAATCAACTTGGCTTTTTCAACCTTGATGTTCTCTTGCCTCACAGTTGATGCTATATCCTTCAGACTCAGACTAAGGAAGCCACATGGACCACGCCTAGAAGCAAACGTGATACGTCTCTCGCTGTATGTCGGTGTTGACAAGAATTTCTCAATCCGATTGATTGCAGTATTTGCTTCAGCAATCAAAGGCAAAAAGTATCCCATAGCAACAGAGACGGAGAAATTGATAACGTTTAAGGTTGAAAGAATGGTAAACATGTTAAAAGCAGTGATTTGTTCCCCTGCTGCTATCAGTGTGACAACAGAGATGAACCCAGCGAGAGGTGCAATTGTGTAAGCCATCGACAACAGGCTGGATATAACAAGTCCCCTTATTCTAATGTACCACATTTCCTTCCTGTTTGGAAGACAAATGAAAGCAGTATGGTCAGTTATTAAAAGAAAAACATTTAGAACGCCTTTGTACTTTTATTTTCCAAGCTTTTATTTATAGTAACAGCATGTTTCAAAAGTATGACCATCACTTTATTTACTGACGTAAGTTTGTTATACGTTATTTCACACTTAAAGGGACAGTGAAAGAGAAGATGGAGACAGGTTCATGGAAGGAGAGGAGAATACTTGGTGAGGAATTCGACTAATTGGGGAGGCGAGTGAAAATAGGAACGGTTTTCGGAGGAAAATTACTGCATTAGTGACAGAGTTGTGGTGATTCCCATCGCCCAGATAATATTTAATCCAGTTCAATTTACCTTCTTAATTGTTTAATGATTTCTGTAAAACTCCATTCCCAAGCGTACAATTTGACAGCTCTAATACCGGATATGATCTCGTTCATCACCTCCAATCTTTTATCCGTAGCTACAGCAGTTTTGTGGCGTAACTTGCCGTTCTTGTGTGACATTGTGAAAATATAAATGAGTAAAAGTATGTAAACACACATGCCGACTAAAGCTCTCCACCCAATTAGGACCAAAAGAACAACAACTGAACCCAAAATATAGAATGGAGCAGGAAGGGCATAGTGTAGCCCAAATACGAGTTTCTCCAGTTTCTGAGCATCGTTTGTTACGAGGTTGATTGTCTTGCCAGTGATTATCTTCTGAACATCACTTCGTTTAAGTTCTTTCAGGATCTGCGTTTATAAAAAGAACAGGCGCATTAATCGGCCAAATTTTTGCTAGTGAAAGTTAAAGGGCTATCTCACTTTATTATTTTCAAAAAGCTAAAACCTTTTTTCGCATCAATTCAATTTGTAAAATAATGGCCCGTATTTGTTTTTGAAGACTATATGTAGGCATTAAAACTGTTTTCTGTCGTCTGTTGCAATAGGTGGCAAGGATGGGGGTCGATTACAACATGAAAAAGTTTTGCCGCCTTTTTCAAGTTTTAATGCTATGCCTCCAAAACTCACACAAAAATTAGTGTGATGAGTGCCTGCCGATGAAATTTCTAAGATTTGTTCTTCATAACTCTACACCAAGTAATGAATTCAGCACTAAAAAATTGTCCTAAAACAGCCGAATATTCTCATGATATAGCCCCTTTAATTTATTCAATATGCAAGTGCTACGAACGTCCTCAAATGAACTCCCACCACTGGCAGTGGCAGTGTTACACTATTTACTGGGTACTAATTGAATACACAGTGGTTTGATCCAAATTCTTTGACTCAAGATCAGAAAGACACATGTATTACCCTCAAAATTTAAACACCATCAATTGAAATACAACTGAAAGAAAAACTCTATCTTGTAATCTTTTGGTGTGTTCCATTGGAATGATCCAAATCAGGGCTTATGAAGCAAGATCACCCCGATCATGGTGAATCAAAGGAACCGCAAGGACTCGTCGGTAACTTGGATGAACCAGGATTCGGGTAATAATGCGGATTATAAATCGTGCTCCGGATCAGTCTGAATGGCACGCCAGGCGTTTGTAGGGGAGAGGACCTGGAAAATGAAGTGCGCAGAGAGAAAGGGACGCCTGTCTCATTCTCGCTTGTCTCAAATCCTCCTTCACTTTGCCATTCAAACGCCAGGTCATAAAAAGTTCGTTCCTTTGAGATGACACGGATCTGCCTGCGTCGCAAAGAAAAGAAAAGGGGGGGGTAAAGGAAAGCGAGAACGGGATGACTGCACTTCCTGGCGATCTTGTTCACTTCATTTTCCCTTTCCTATCCACTAGAAATGCCTGCCGTCTACAAACGTCTGCCGTGTAGTCTGATTCGGCTCGGCAAGATTTATGATCCAGCATCACTCGGATCATAGTAGATCAAAGGTACTGGCGAGTCCCTGACCAGAAGAACTTTAACTGTTACTTTGATACAACATGACCAGAGAGATATCTTCACCCCAAATTAAGGAAGGTACCCTTTTTTGAAACGATATAAAGGGAAAACTATTACCTTTTCGTAGATAAGGCCAATGCAGGACACTTTAAGTCGATTGCTCCAAATCTCTGCCATCGAAGCTGAGTGATTCTTGGAGAATCCTTTAAAAAGAGCTAAAATAATTATTCCAGTAACGAACACATATGAAGACGTTGAAGCGTCACCTTGTGATTCCCTCACAAACTCCGACAGAAAAAACCACATTAGCGTTGGCAGTAAAATTGTACACAAGAAACGACACAGAACTAAAACAAACATCAAGGTGTATGCCTTCCACGAAAACATTCGAGTAAATGCTCTCCACAAACGAGGTTTACAATCACTTGGTAGGCAACTGTTAATTTCATGTTGCCACTCGCTCTTCAGTTTGCTAACAAGATACTCCATACTATCTTCTGTACGAACAGGGAAAATGTCTTCTTTTACCAGAGGTCTTTTGCTGCCAAGCCGCAGTATCGAGTTCATCCAACCCAGAGATGCACGGGTGAACCAGTTTGCTGTTTCGTAAGGATGAGAAGAGGTTACTTTCTTGTTGCATGATGGATCTTTCTTCTGCCTATTGTGTTCCATTTTGTCTCTAAAAAGAAACTGCGAAGAGAAAAACAGGTGTCCAGGGAATTTCATTATACTAGATTTGTACTAATTTGTTTGTAATAGTCATGACAAAAATGAAAACAGTAAAATGAAGAAAATGCCAGGAAAACCAGAGAGAGACTTCACACAGTGAAGAACAAAGTCAACCATAAGGCTGAAAACTCGTCTATTTTAAGTGAAAAAAATATTTATTGCATCTACACAACAGCGAGTATATAAAACTGGTCGAGTACATCTTTACGGATGTTCGTATACATGTATCTCTAAAGATGTGCTGGACACCAGGATGATACTACGATTTTGGCTGAGGATTCCACAAAAAAACTATCTATCTTGTTGGAGGCAGCGTGGCAGAGTGTACCCTGGCTCCAGAGGTCCGTTCTCCGTGCTTACGGTTTGATAAGGCTCCCGAGACGTTATTTTTTTCAAGCGGGATTTGTTCTTGGTCATCCTGAGTTCAATTTCTCCGCGTTCATGCTCTTGTAAATGACCAGCTGGTTGCATCCTGCCAGTTGGGACTATCGACCCTGTTACGTTCCATTTGAATTATTCGTTATGAATCATTTGCATGAGTGGAGTGCCGTGTAAGGGAATGGACTCCATATTCCGGATTCCATACCCCAAGATTCATGATTCCTTTTTTGTGGGGCGAAACGAAAGCCTTTTTATTCTTTTACCAGCGGGGAGGGGGGAGGTGGGGGGTTAGCAATTTCTGGTGTTATTTGCAAGTAGTTCTGGTTTGATTAATGCATAAGCACGTCCATGAGTTGGGCAATGAGAAAAGTTTCCACGTCATTTTTCCACGTGAGACTGTGGATTAATAGGATTTGAGTTCAACCAGAAAGTCATAAGGAGTTCTGGTTCAACTTAATTTCAGTTGCAATTATTACTGAAACCAGAGGCTGTAGTTTCGTCAGAGGTACCAACTACAACGCCTAAGTAAGAAGAGATCTTATGTATTAGCATATGTCTTTTCAGTGGTCAAGCGTTTAAAATTTACATTGATACAGATGGCTGCATAATGTACATGAATAAATAAATGTCGCAAAAAAAAAGACGCCACTGAAAGTGTGCATGAAATTATAGGATGCGGGCAGTCTCTTATTTTTCTTTGCAAAGTTAATGCACGCGAAACCCAAGCACGCGAGCCGCGATAAACGAGAGCGTAACGTAACGTCATGGTTTGCAATCGCGCTGGCTGAGATAGGAACTGAAGGTATTTTAAGAGAAAAGGCAAAATGCAGACAGTCTAGGACTGCAAAATGTACAGACCCTTAACTGTGTCGGCGACATACAACCTGCAACCTGTGAAGAATCAAAGTTTGCGTATTCACTGAGAAAGTTACTGTTAGTAGCTTAGTTTAGTTTGTCTTAAGCAATCATGCCCTCGCAAATTGCATTAGCGTTTTCCCTCTTTCCAACAGCGTGCGATTAAACTGACTGAGGTCATTTAGCCTAAGGCATCCGCTAAGACATAACGACAAATAATACTACTGAATCACGAAGCCAACATCAATTGCCGGACAGCGGATAAGCTCTCGTTATCACCTAAATGTTACTCTGTTACCAGACTTATTAAAAAGATTCCTCTAAATGAAGCCCAAACGACTGATTCATATGGAAACAACAATGGAAAAGAGTTCCTCTAAAGTGAGCTCGTAGCCATCCTTTTCCTTAACGAATCTTTGACTAACATTGAAAGACATAATTTTTTAAGTCACTGGTGTCTGGTTATTTTTGCTCTTGTATGAATAGTATAGATCTATCATTGGGACAAGCTCAGCACGTGTACATACCTTTTCTCAGAGGGCACCTCTAATTTTCAATAAAACTACGAGAAAAATAAATCTTACCAGCCATAAGTGTTCATACCGTTAAGAAAGGAGAAAGGAGTATTTAAATCAGTCATGCTTGGGCTGACAGACGTCGTCGACTGGACCTAACAAGTTTATGAATGCCATTTGCTTAGCCCTATGCCACTTCCTGTTGTATGTATTTTTAGGTAGTTTCTGACCTCCCGAAGAGATCTGGCGATTTTATGGCAGGGGGGCACTCGCAAAATTCAGGCTAGTTAACGGACCATTAGAAAACTTATGGGGGGCGGGCGAAGTGCAAAAAAATATTCGCGCAAGTAAAAATTAAATGAAAAAAAAATCATGCATGCCAATTAGCCCTAAAAAATATTCATGCTATGGCCTAAAAAAAATTCATGCTAGGAATTGATAACGAAAAAAATTCCTGCGGATCGAAAATTCCCCATCCCCCCCCCCCCAAACTTTTCTAATGGTCCGTCCCTAAGTATGAAAAGAGGGGAAAATATTGACAGTTCCGTGTGAACCAAATCAATATCAAGTGAAGTTCTCTATCGTGTGAACCAGTTTGAACGCACCCTTCCGAGAGCGGTTGATAGACACGCCATGTCAATCCAACATATAGTATCCTTTGTATCCTATTCAAGGTCACTCAAGGTGACCCCATACCGATCACGTTGATCAGGTTGTTTGGACCTTCATTATCGAGAATGGAGTGGAATTTTCTGTCTGGTGTCGGCGCTGTTTTCCTTGGATACTATTCTCTAACGTTTGTTCTGCAAGTCCTTCATGGAATCAGAGCATTTGTTCTTCCAACTCTCGGCATAAAAAAGAATTTGAAGAAGTTAGGACAGTGGGCAGGTAAGGCCGGTTACATGCGCTTCACATGTGCAAATCGACTTGTTTCTTAAGTCTGTATCGTCTTTTTCAAGTAAGTTTGGTAATTTTAAACGTTCATCTAAGTTCCCAGATGCAAGAAGTTCTTAAATTATGTGTATTTTTTGTGTGTTGACACTTTCTGCAAGCATGCGGAGGAGCTGATCTCATTGCTCAACAGTGTATCAGAATTTTGTGCAACTGCGTGCCGCGTGACTGACCAACTTCAGCTCATTAGAAGTCGGTCACATTTTTCACTCCGTTATTAAACACTAAATCGAATGTATGTTGCTGACTTTGTTTTGTGATTGTCGTAGTTTATAATGTTTTTATTACAATCGTATGCTACATGAAAATCCCCATTTTAATTTGCATTCAAAGTGGTTGCACTGATGTGGTCATCCACAGATCTTCTTGTCCATACCAAATGATTATAAAAATTAATGTTTTTTTTGTCGTGGAAGTGCACTTACAGCTGTAGCTTCTCAGGGGGTAATCTGGATTTCAAGTTACAGGAATGGGGCCAAATAAAAATCCAAAAAATCCAGAGGGCTTCCAACAGAACCCAAAAAAATTCAAGGACAAAACTTTCATCCCCAAAAATCCCATGCCAAATTTCTGAGCCTTAAAAATCTCCAGAAAGGAAAACAAGTTTGGTTTTTGGTTGAACTTTAATCTCAGAACTGTGCGGCCAGGATACACAGGCACTACCACAAATCTTCAAATTGTTCTGAATAGCCAAGAAATCCCTACACAGGGGCGTAGCTACCTGTACGCAAATACGCAATTGCGTACCTGAAAATAATAATAAAAAATAATAAATAAATATATAAAATAAAAAAATAAATAAAAAATATATTTCAAATATATTTATATTTATATATATTTTTTATTTTTTTTTTCAGTCATTTAACTTAGCCTTTTCTTTTACTTATTTTTGTACCTGAACTATAAAATTGTTTTTCCACATCCAAATGTCGGTTTCTTCAGAGAATCGATGTGATTTCGTCGGTCAGCGGTGGAGTGAATTCTCGTTCGTGTATGAAAAGAGCGGGAAATAAGAGAGCAGAAACCAGGCGAAAATGACTTTGATATTTTTTTGGGGGGGGGCGGGGGTGAAGAGGTGAGATGGAAAACTGTGCGTACCTACGGAAAAATCCTGGCTACGCCCCTGCTACATAATGGTTTTGTGGCTTGCTTGTGTGTCCTGATCTTTGCTATGATTGGTCAGAACACAATAAATATCCCTGAGATAACTAGTTCAGGGTTCAGGGTTTTCTTTGTTTGACTGTAAGGCTGTAAATGCAGGTTACAAGGCAAGGTTCAGTTCAGCTTCTTCTCTTTGAGCAAGGGTGGCATAGTGGAGCAAGGGTTGTGCAGTGGTGAGAGCACTCGCCTCCCACCAATGTGGCCCGGGTTCAAATCCCAGCATCTATGCCATATGTGGGTTTAGTTTGTTGTCGGTTCTCTCCTTTGCTCCAAGAGGTTTTTCTCAGAGTACTCCAGTTTTCCCCTCTCCTCAAAACCCAACATTTCTGAATTCCAATTCGACCATCAGGGAGATAAAGAACCACTACAAGGATGTGCTACCTCTAAATCGTTATTTATTTTATTTATTGTTTATTTATTTTCTTGTTTCCCCTTATCTACATTAGTACATTAAACTATATAAGAGTGTTGGAAATTATATTACATGCTGTGATTTTCCAATAATTTTGGACATTTTATTTTGCTTACAGTTATTACAGGGTGTACAGATGGAATAGGAAAAGCTTATACTCAAGAGGTGATTTTAGAATTGAACAATATTGTAAATAATAAAGATGGTTATTAATGGCAAAGGCAACCGTTTTAATCTCTGTTACATGACTTAATAACTTGAAAGACTTTATTATTGTAACTAAATCCAATGTGACATGCTTACGATGTTAATGGCTCTTAAAAATTAATGGTCAGTTGCATGTATCTTAACATAACTGCTTAGTATGAATCTTACAATTGTAGGTTTCTCCTGCATACAATGAACTGCAGCTTACAACCCCTCTACTTGCAGTATAAGCCCTTCCAGTTATTGCCCCATCAGTGACCTGTAAACCCAAGAAATACTCGCTTTGATATAGCCCCCCCAACCTTACTAAATTTAATTTGTTATGACATTTTGAAGGTTGATTAACAACCAGCTTGTTTCGAAGCACTTTCTTTTATTCTGGATATAAGCCCCTCTGTTCATAAGCCCTCCGAAAAATATTTGCAAAGATGTAAAAGCCCAGGGCTTATATGCAACAGTTTATGGTATGCCCAGGTAAATGTGTGTACTTGTGGGTACTGTATATGTTACAGGTCAAATTTACTGTTAAGGTATTATATTGTTCTGGGCCCGGTTCCTGAAATGTCGATTTGCCTTAATCCAGGATTAAAATTTTGTTCCGTTTTTGTATTTTACATTTGTATACATTGCTTAGGGTAACATTTTGTGTTATTACTACTGTATCTCGTAGTAAGTACTTAACAGTATATTGTAACCTCCAGTTGCACGTTCTTAGACTAGAAAACCGTGCTTGAAATTTGGCTTAATCCTTGGTTAAACTTAACCATCTTTCGAGGAACCGGGCCCTGGTAATTTCATTGTTTACTTAATAATTGATATTAACTATGAGATAAAATAATGTTGCAGACATACTTTCTTAATTTTTCTTCAATCCTCTGTGAAATCTTCTAATAAGCTGTCCCAACCAAGTACTCTACATCTGTAAATTTAGTGCATTAGAAGTTTTGTCATAATTTGTGTTTTGCTCTCCAGCTTGCAAGGCAAGGTTTCAAGGTGGTTCTTATCAGTCGCACTAAGGAAAAGTTGGAAAGTCTTGCTGTAGAGCTGAGTAAGATTAATCACTCATCTATAATAAGCAAATAATCAGTTGTTCAAAATCCCAACTGACAGGTGGTAGATCATGGCTGTTTACACATGTAGGCATGGCCGGCCGCCAAGGACTACTGCCAGAGCCCTCCCTAGTCTGAATTTCAAATACAGTCGTTGCACGTTTTGCGGAGTACAGTAGGCCACGTCCCATCTTTGTATTGTCTGTTGCCATTTTATTGTAACTAGTCTTATGTCCCTGTTTCAAGGCTATAATTCTTGTCAGAAGTTTACCCCAATGGGGCCTTGATCACTACTGAGTCACAATTATCCAGCCACTAGGTAGTGGTCAAAACAGGACTCATGAAAGTCAGATCCTCCTCCAGATTGCAATAAGACAGTTTCAAATTGTAAAAATTCATACTTGGCCTCGAGGCTGAAGGGAATAATTTAAAACAAAAATAAATTATTATTTTGTGACACTGACGGGTAAACTACAAAGACCAAGCATTTTGACAGGTTCTTAACCAGTTACTTTTACAGTGACAGATTTCTATTGTCTTAGCCTATGATACTCATTCATTAACAATAATTTGATTAATTAATTTTAATAATATTACTGCAAACTTATATTCTGCTGCTTTAAAAAGGGAAAATTTACTTGTACATGTAGCATTCATAACTGCTCCACTCACACAAAGCGGGGCTAATCTAGGTAGGTAAAACAAATGAATCCTTACATGCTGTTACTACAGAATTTGATCAGTGTAGTGTATGTGGTAGGTAAAAATCTGTTATGTGGCAGGTAAAATCCATTCTTGTGTTAAACTAGTATTTCAAACTGTTAAGGTGAGCTTTTTGCCGTGATTCTTAATCTTGTTACCTACTGACATGTAGATCAAAAGATACATTTAAGTAAAAACATAAACATTATGACTAAAGTAAAGAAGTACCTGTCTAATGAAACCCTAATTAATATGTACATATGCACTACTCTTCCATATATCCTTATTTAATGTATGTTTCTATACTGTGGTGTAGTTATTATTATAGTCCTATTTATGATGTATTTAAACTTCAGAATAAGGCAATTAGAGAAGTTAATGATGTTCCTATTATGGATAACTTTACCCCCCACTACACGTATGTCAATCTAGGCATTTTGAAATTTCCTGACATAGTTAAACTTCATACATGTCTCTTTTTCTTTGATATCTTAAATGATTTCGGACCCTCTAATTTTATAATACCAGTTTTATCAGTCGACAGAACATTAACATACATATCAACCTTGTTTAATAGTTGTATAAATTTTACAAATGTACACCTCTGTAATTATTTCACGAAAATCTTTGTTATCGTTGTAAACACATGACCTACAGACACATTGTGTCTGTAAGCGCTCTGTTGATAATAAAGCACTTATCCTATCCTATCATGTACATTGTAGGTATACCACTCAAAATATCTCTTTAGAACAGTACAGTAGAACCTCAATAACTCGAACTTTGATAACTCGAATTCCTAGTTAACTCGAACTAAATTTCCTTTCCCTTGATCAAAATGTCACCAAAATTTACCCCTGGCCAATAACTCTTATTCCCCACTAACTTGAACTGTTCTTCAGAATACTGCATACTAAAATTATTGTTTTGTTTCCCAGAGGAAATATATGGTACTGAAACAAAGATTATTACAATGGACTTCACTGGGGGGGCTGAAATCTATGATGGCTTACCAGAGAAATTAGCTGGTCTTGACATTGGCATATTGGGTAAGTGATCTTACCGACATTGTTTTGTACAGTCATTTATAACACATTTATCTACATGTATTTTTGTATAGTTCCTCCTGTATAGATCACTCAAAAGGCATTAATGCTTCAGGAGAAAAAAACATTTAAGGGCCGTGAAAGCCCTCTTTAAAAATATAGCATTTCTTCTTCTAAACCAATGCATTTGCTTTTACCACTTCAAAAGTAGTTTCAAGTGTCTTCAGCTTTTTGGTAACTCATACAAATAAATTCAGATTCTCTGGAGTAGTGTGAAATGTTGTAACCAAGAAAAAAAGAATTGCCCCTAAAAGTAACATTGATAATGTGTACAGTACATAGCATAACAGTATCTTGTAAACAGCTAGTAAACTGTAATCATACCAGTAATTTTTATATTTATCTAACATTTTTTTGAAGCTTGTGGGATAAACACAAATGCAGTGATTTTGTTGTACATAGATGAATCAAATTCCAAGTTAATTTACTTAAATCTTATCTTTTTCAGTAAATAATGTGGGTGTTTCCCATTATGCAGAGTTTTTTACCCAAATGAAACGAGAGGTAAGAAGCAAGCAATTAAAAGAGCATTTTGATTTAGGCTTGATACTTTTTAATACTCAAACATAAATGAAAAGTACATGTAATATTATTATACTTTTTGTTTAATTGGTTAAAGGCAACAGGCATCAACAGGCAACATAATTATGTTTGTTTGTTTATTTGTTTGTTTTTACCTTGAATTAAATGTACTGTACTTTTTTACTTTAAGGATGCGTGGAAAATGATGAATGTAAATGTTCTCTCTGTGACCATGGTAAGAGATGCAGTGTAACATACAAACAGTAAACTTGTGTTAAGTACTTTGTTTGGTTGGAACAATAGAAGGTTAGACTTCCAACTGCCAGGATCAGGCAAACCTGTTGGCTTTTTACATTGTTGTCAAGGAGTCAAAACTCTGGGATTACCAAGAAAAAAAACCAACTAGTGGTTGGTCAAGGTTGGACTCAAACCTGGGCAGACCCAGGGTCCAGATTGCTACTCTGACCACACCTTGGTTGAGGCCACATGCGGCAACAAACTAGCTGCATGATGTCCCACCTCAATCAGTATAAACATGCTACATGCTACACCACTTACAGCATGGCTTTTGTCAGGGTCATTCCTGTTTACTGGAACTAGCCACTATATAACCTCCTTTCTAACTTGGCCTCTGGCAGTCAGACTGACCTAATAATTATTATTGTTTTTTTTACCACACTGGCTAATAATCCTCTTTCTGAGGGGTTGCTATATTGGTAAATAATAATAAATATATAATAATAACAGTTAAACAATGTCCATCTTTGGCTCATGCTACTCATATGCCAGAGGATATACAGTACATGTGTTTGTTAGTACTTCAAAATATGTATTTCTTTGGTGTGTATTTAATTTATAACTTGTTAATATTTTGTGCAGATGACTCATATAATCCTCCCTGAGATGGCTGCAAGGTGAGCTATATTTGTGTACCATCTGTTAAATTTACATCAGATGCTAGTTTTGTTGTGATAGGCTGAATAATAATATTGCAAGACAAGACAATGCTTTATTTGGAGTCTTATACAGTCCTATGTACGTCGACTTTATCCAAATAATTTAAAATCATAACACAAATTGCACTCTAGTGGAACTATAATCAATGTTAACCTAAAGAACTAATGATCTTCTTTTCTCATAGCAGTCGAATACTTATTTTGCAATTAACTTTTGCACTGGTTTGTTCTTGCGCGGAGGGTTTATTAACAACAGAAAAACATCATCTGGTTCCATTCTGTTTACTGATATTGTGTATTCTTTGTTTAAGTATTCAAATAAGGTACTTCTTTTTTCTTGATATGCAGGGCACAGAGTTAAAAAGTATATTTCATCTTCTACGTCTTTTTTACAGATAGGACAGATCCTCTCTTCCAGTTTCTTATACGGTCTTACATACCGACCTGTCTCTATTGCCAATTTGTGATTACTTAGGCGGAGTTTAGTTAGGGTTATCCGGTGTCGGATGTTGGTGACCTGACAGAGTCGGTTGGCGTCGTTTCTTACGTCATTGTTTTCGTCACTTAACCATCTTTGTAATTCAATGTCTTCCAGTCTTTGTTTGATAATGTTGAAGATTCCTATGTCATTTTCATGTGCTTTTGTCCAGAGGTATCCCAGCCCTATTTGGTCTAATACGCATTTGATTTGTTGGCTCCCTAATTCCTTATTCATCCTCGACTTCATATCATTATAAACCACCTGTGATAATTTGTCTAAATCTACATGCATTGTTGCTGCAGTATTTATTTACACCTAGCAACCATTTCGAGAATTTAGTTTGAACTAATTCTGCAGGATCTTTTTCTATTTGGTTGTTACAGTCACTTAAGTGTCCCTGTCCCTGCCCTGGATCCCTCACTGACATGTACATGTATGCTGTGGGAGTATGCTTTTAGAACTGCTGCCACATGACTGTATGCGTTATGGCACTATCATTATGTTGTGGTTCAGTTTTATCTTTGGTTTAGATTTTATTTTCCTTTGCATTGGTTTGAGGTATGGTAATTGGCGATATTATCAGTTTGAAACAAAGAAAATAAAATGTAAACCAAGGATAAAATTCAACCACAACAAGGGCTGTTCTAGGTATAAATGGCATAAATAATATCAGGTCTGTAGCTTGAACTACTCTCTCTTTGTGTACTTTAGGTGATAAATTTACAGTGTATGCAATCAAACAATTATTACATGTATGTTTGATCCTCTGCAGAGGAAGAGGTCTTATTGTAAATGTCGCTTCAGCTGCTGGCCTGCATCCCACACCACTACTTTCAATGTACTCTGGAACTAAGGTTTGTGAACTGAGAATCTGATAGTAACTTTGACCTCACTAAGTGAAAGGTGAAAATCTGCAGAGAGTTAGAACTAGCTCTGATCTGTAAAGACTGGTGTTCCAATACCTGGGATCTTCAAAGGGACAATGTTCTCAGGCCTGGAGTACTGTTGTAATCTTATGTTTGCTGTGAATCAGGACTAGGGCTGACTTTTTTAAAGCTTGGTTAGCTGTAATCCTGGGTTAACTGTGGGTTAACTACAAACAGAAGGACTCCCTTTCCCTGTGCACATGTATCCTATCTCCTTGTCTACTTAGAAATGTAGGAGAATTTTTTTCACGTTATGAAATCACTTCCATTCTGTGACTGTTGCCCCTTTGTCTCATTGTTAAATTTTCTGGGTTTTTTTTGCGTTTTTAGGTGTTTGTAGACTTTCTTAGTAGGTGTCTCAATGCTGAATATTCTTCCAAGGGAGTCACTGTCCAGGTACATTACCAGATAAGCCAAAATAATTACAATGATTTTACCAGCACATCATAATGTGCCACTTCACAACCTACAGGGGAGAATGGAAAATATGAAAATTTGTCACTCCATAAAATATTATGAGGAAAACGGTTCATACTTTCAGTGGAACAATTCCGGGTATGGAAGACAAAAGAAACATTATTTTTTTATGAATAATTAACCAATAATTCCTTGTTATTGTCCCACAGATGAACCCAGAATTTATCTTGGTGTCAGAAGCTTGTAATTGTTCTTCCTGTAGTTTGTGGAGTGTCAAATACCAAGCGTCATATGCATAGCTAGGATTTCAATGAGACCGGGAGGGGGGAGCAGGAGGGGGGAGCAGGAGGGGGGGCGAGAGGGGGAGCAGGAGGGGGGAGCAGGAGGGGGCAGGGGGGGGCAGGAGGGGGAGAGGAGGGGGGAGCAGGAAGGGGGAGCGAGAGGGGAAGCAGGAGGGGGAAGCGGGAGGGGGATGGGGATCACATTGTATCACACCTAAGATGGTGGCTTAATGGATAGTCATGTTGTCCTTCTTGTTCTTTTTTTTTTAAGTGATATGTATTTTTTCGGATATGCGGTAGCGGGTAGGCGCGGTGGAAGGGATAAAATGGCTGCATAGATGAGTCATGTGGCGAGATGGACCAATTTTGTCTATAAGCTTGTTGACCATTCACCGACACATAACACCTCCAAACAAAGAGTTAGCTCATACATGCTAATAAGTCTTATTGTGCACTAAATTATTTCAGAGCAGACGCGTATACTTGTCAGCTCAGACGCATAGACGCGTCCGGCCTAACGCAATTGACTCGTATTTCCCGACGCGTATTACGCGTATGTTTTGGTTCGCTTAGTTCTGGCCTGCACTCTATAAACCGGTTTGTCCCATACAAGAACTGCTGGCAAAAGCACTTTAATAGGTACCTATAAATTTTGAACATAGCGCATGTTCAAACGAAAGCTTCTGCCAAAAAATTTTGGATATAACACGGCTGAGTCAGTGAGATATTGTCATTTAAAGAAAGAGATGCTTTATCAAAGAGGGGCCCAGGTGCCCCAGTCGCCATCAAGAGTTCTTCAGGAGAATTTTGTTTAGAAAACTCAAAAACATTGCCCACTTAAAGGTTGAACAGAATAAGTTTTTGATAAGGCCGTACGACCAAACAGTTTCTTTTGTTGCACTAAATGTTCACAAATTGTTTCTTAGACCCAGGTCACACGTTAAACTTCACATGTTCCGAAACTAATGCTAATGAGCAACAACACTAGATTTTTCTCATTAACTTTAGGTAAGGCACATGAGATCTTCGACTAAGGGCCAGGCCTTACACATGTATTTCACTCAATTTGTAACTACCGTATTTATTCGATTAACCGCCCAGGGCGCTTATTAAATTTTTGGACCTTGAGAGTGGGCGCTTATTCGAGGTGGGCGCTTATTCGAGGCTGGGCGCTTATTAAATTTTCAGTATTTTCAGCAAGTGTAGTATGTTTATTTTGCAACAAAACAATAAATGGTAATGACAGAACTCGAAGATATAACAAAGCAAGGTTCCTGTAAAATACTTTGAAGAAAACTCCGTCTTCAGGGAAGTCTCTTATTACTACTTATTCAATTTTTGGGGGGTGGGGTGGGGTTGGTCGCTTATTTGAGTTTGAGTGGGAGTGGGAGGGAGGTGGGGTGGGGTGGGCGCTTATTCGAGGCTGGGCGCTTATTAACTTTTTCTGCCTTTAGGATGGGCGCTTATTCGAGGTGGGCGCTAATTCGAGGTTGGGCGCTTATTCGAATAAATACGGTAGTTCATAATGACTGAGTGAAGGCGTGTGTGGGCGAGGGGTTGACACCTCGAACTCCGGATCTCAAGCCTCGCCCGTCGCGTTGTTTCCTTAGACAAGAAACTTTACTCCACTTTGGCTCACTTCTCCCAGGTATATAAATCGGTACATGCGACATACTGATTGGGGGTAACCCTGCGATGGACTAGCATCCCGTCCAGCGGGGAGTAACAATACTCCTAGGCATGCCTCATTCTAAGGTAACCGGGATAAGCTCCGGCCGTTTGGGCCTTTGGCTCGAGTGCGCCTTTACCAACTTCATCTTGACTGACGTTAGTGTTAGCTATGACACAACTCCTTTACTGTTTGAACTTTTTTTGTTAGTCTGAGTAGAAGCATATAACCCCGAAGCGTCTAACTTTCCCTTATGTGTTAAGAACCATGCTCGGGTTTTTTAGCGGGCGCAGCCGTCCAATCAGTCTGAGCAAAGACAGGCTGTGCATTGTTAATAAAAGAATAGCTGACATCGTCTCGGAAAATAGGAGAAAGTTTATGGATGCCCCTCCAGGTAGTCGGGCATGGTGGAAAGGAGTTGATGAATTGTCGCAGCGGCGTCGTGCATCCTGCAAAGTAAACCTGGATAACAGCTGTCTGATGGACTTGAATGATTACTTCGCTAGGCTCTGCTCAGATGATATGTACATAGAACCAACCCCTGTCACAATCAGCAGTGGGATGGAGATTCCGGTAATTTCCGAACGGCAGGTCTGGAATTTACTTAGCGTTCTCAAAAGAACTGCGACTGGACCCGACCAGATTCCTTACTGGGTTTGGAAAGAGCATGCTGAGATTTTCACGCCTCTTATCACCAAAATCTGGAATCTCTCAATCTCTACTCAGTGTTTGCCATCATCGTGGAAGCGTGCGATCATCACCCCCCTCCCCAAAGTGGATGTTCCTAAAGCACATGGTGATTATCGCGGCATTAATATAACTCCTGTTATAGCGAGGGCTTTTGAGAAAATTGTGTACCACTGCTATGCCCGCGAGACAATTGAAAGCCACCTCAGCACCTCACAGTTCGCCTACAGAAAAGGTGGAAACTGTACCGATGCTCTCTTGTCAATTCAACATGAGACCAACAGCTACCTGGATAACCCGGATTGTAAAGCAGTTCGCCTTTTTGCTATGGACTTCAGCAAAGCTTTTGACTCTGTGAAACATGAACTTCTTGCTAGTAAATTAAAAAAGCTCCCACTGAATCCATATATTACCAATTGGTACTTGAACTTTTTAAAGGATAGAAAACAAAGGGTATGTTGTAACAACTTTGAGTGTGACTGGAAACCGGTCAACCAAGGGACAACTCAAGGTAGCGTTAGCGATCCTTACCTTTTTAATATCTTCCTCAATGATCTTAACATCACTTTAGGTAATCATGACGCGCTATTTAAGTACGCT